TATTTTTCCCTCTATTTTCTCCCAGTATACTGATCTGAACAGAAGTAAATTCTATTAAAGATTATTTTGCGCCAATGAACGAAATACTTTACCTCAAATGTTTGTTAAGTCCCCCAACCTCCAACCTTTCATCAGATATGCAATCTACTGTATATGTCGTCCAAACCTTGCACTCTCCGGAAACTGTGTTCTAAACTCAGTTATCAAGTGGCTGACGAGATCACATTGATTGCTTGGGCACATACTCTTAGACTATCCTTTCAGTGGATTGCATCCTGTCTCATAGAAGACGTCTAATATTTTTTCTGTCTTCAAGTCAGGATCTCGTTCGGACGTAAACAATTACTGAGGCACTCATAAAACCTCTTGTCTAGCAAACTTTCCTGAGAGATTATTTTAAATCAAATTCTTGCTGTGAGTAATCCGATAAATGGTTGAAGTTTAACTTTGACAAATTTGTTGCACTGCGCGTCAAAACAATAAAGGGGAGTGCGACGGGCGATTCTCGCTAATACTTACTCAGTGAAAGGTCGAATAAAATCGAACGAAAAGATCTAGGAATCACAACTGTGCCATCTCCGAAGCCCTCTTTTCAATGTGCTAGGGCTGCCAAAAGGGCAACCAGTGTCCTATTTGTTATTAAAAAAATTTTTGTCAGTATCAATACGGAATTATTAAGGAAAATTTATGGAAACTTTATTCGTTCACATCCAGAATATGGAGTTCAGGCGTGGTGCCCGCGGTTACAAAAAGGTTACAAGACACCGGAAAGGTCCAAGGGAGAGCAAGATAAGTTGTGAAGGGTTTTAAGTCCATATCATACGAATACAGACTTGAAGCACTTAATATTTCCCCTCCTGTGTACAGGCAAATCCGAGCTGATATCACACAGATAAACTGGCTCGAGAGGAGTCGGGACTCTGCCCTGTATTGGCCAAATCAACTGACCTATGGGGGGAATTCCCTTTGATCCGGTGCTCTACAAGTCTTCTTCCTTATCCATGCAGATATCTGAAACGCGAACCTTTTCATTTATTCGGGAATTCCCTAACACACCGACGAACCTTATCCCATTTACATAACTCCAGCCGTTCATTTTCACAGCGAGCCATCGGTTCATGGAACGGACTACCCTAAAATTTTATAGTGGCGGACACGATATATGCATGTAGACATAATCTGTACGAGGAAGCACTGTTAAAACCTATCAACGCTTCGCTCACACTTACAGATGAAGTTACTATCTGCTATTTGACAATTTGAAATTCGGTCTTCAGGATGACAATGCTTAAATTCCAATGTTACAAAGCGACCTGTATTTGCTACTGCTTTCTGATTATGTCTCTGATGACGAATCCGCGACGGACCTCGAAACGTCAGGCGAATAAATGTATTGACCCAGCTATCGAGTCGTCTTATTCTCCAAATGTACATTCCTACCTGTTTTACGGTAACAGTTTTATTTGATGTATTTTACCCTGCATATTTTTGCATACCGTTTTTAAATGGAAGGCCCGTTACCCTAAAGATACCAAACCATACCGCACGAAATAATTTTGGTCGGAAGAGTATTGATAAATGAAAACGCAACTGCTCGGGAGATTAGCCTGTATGAGAGCACCCTGAAGATACCGCATGTCTAGAGATCATTTCTCCGGAGAAAGCAGCTGACCCTAAAAACTAAAGTGTGGTAGACAACAGTTCGTCCCGATTTGCCTCAAAAGGCTTTAAATTCAGTGTCTTCAGTCACTTTATTAAGGGAAGAAGAATTTCGCCCTTGAGCTCCCTATTAAGAGCCAAAAAACACAATTGTTTATAACTTCAACAACAGAACATGAGACAAATATAGAATTAACCTCAGCAATATGTATGAACCGGTTGCTAACGGCCGCAATGTTTACCAGCAAGTGAGAATCCAGTTGCGCTTAAATATCTCAACAGTCTTCAAAGGACCACCACGTCGAGGAGTCCGTTCCACGCTCCAATGACTCTCTGTGAGAAGGCATCCCGTCGAACGTCCACGCTGGTCAGCTTCCTCCGCAGTTTAAAGGGGTGACCCCGCAGATGATC